TTGGTAAAGTCGTGTAATTTTACGTGTCAGCAACTTTGAGTAGGAGAATAAGAAAACGATGTCCCGTGTGCTGTGAAGATGGTGTTAAGATGATCGATGATAGACGCAGAAGAGATGTGATAGCAAGAAGTTTTCAGGAGAAAAGAGGGAGAGATAGTTTTATGGTAGAAAATCTTGCTGACTTAGATGTTTGTCTGTCCCCGTCAGCTGGGTGTATGTCACTAACTCATTGGCACACTAGGGGTTTTAAACATTTTGTATAACTACAACATACCAGTAGAGAACATTTCGTCCAAGTAAATAGGATGAGAGGATCATTATTCCTACACAGATATCATCTTTTGTGTTACTATTTTTACAAAGAAGATAAATCAACCTTTAGAATCCAATATCCAACATATAAAATAGTGAAATTCAAAGGAAATATTCGAAAATCTATATTTAACTTCCTCTATAGAACTTTATTGTATAAACTCTTAAGTTAGAACCATTTTAAGTTGGTCGAAAATAAACTATTTTTTTTTACAAAATTTCAATAGTTTGAGAGTTAATTACTTCTTTAACTTCAAACAAACAATTACCTCTTCGTATTTTTGAATATATATTGTAATATTCAAACGTTTTTTCTTATGGTTATTGTACTTTTTTATATCTGGCCATTTTTGAAAATGGTGAAGTATAAAGGCATACAATAAGCAAAAGAATATTTTTGAATATTTTCCTCTTTCGAAACTGTCAAATCAGGAGTCTTTACAATGAACGGTTCTCGAGTTATAAGCATAAAAACCGAATTTTCAAAAGTTTTTTTAGATTCCTTAATATAAAAATTTGGAGGTTTTGAAATATTTTTTGCTATTTGCGTTCCAAAATCTATTTTTAAATTTCACCAAATTTTATAAGTGAAGAAAAATATGAAGTAATCTTCAAATAAATAAATAAATAGGCCAATAAAATTGTACAATTTAATAGTATTATTTTTAATGATAATATATATGATTTTTTAAAGAAATATAAGAGTTAGAAGAATGAAAAATTATTGCTAAAAAGAAAAAAAATTACGAGAAGGTTTCTGAATTTTTTTTAAAAATTAAAATATTATATTTTACAATATAAATATTTAATATATATCATGTAACGAAGGAAAACAAGTATCATTCAGAAAGAGAAATTAATATAAAGTTCTGATGTATAATGATTTTTCAACACTTTCGAATGGCATTTATCGTACAATTATTGCTTTTTCTGCTTATAAAATATGTAATTATTCCTTTTTATACATCAAGAAATTATGTATAAAATAAATTTTCCTGCCATCGCAATTCTCAGGAGTTATCTGAATGAGTTCGCGATAAGGTAGCTTTCACCTGCTCCATAGGCTTCAGATCACCCGGATACTTTCTACAGCGTTGAGAGATTCGATCCGGATTCTCGTGATTTTTCATGGGCAGTTCGAGTTGGAGCATCGTTTCCCATCCCTCATCCATGTTGGCTAACTCCACTACGGTTCAGATTCATCCGTAATGGGCAATACTGAAGGCAGTCCATATAAACCGTAGTGCGTTTGTGTCTGTCGTCTACAAATCCAATTCAATCCAATCGACTCTCGGGGAGTAGCAAATCATATTTCTGTATAATGTCACGAAATTCCGATATATTAAACGAGTTTGTCAACCCAAGTTGGAAAATTACAAAAGACTAATCTGCAAATTTTAATTCCCGAAAGAGACATGATAATTACTTTTAAGCGAATTTATTCATATTCTGTCTACTTTAAAATTATTCATATATTGACATAACATAAATATTTTAATTTTAGAATTAAAGTAAATCATCTCACCAAAAAAAATAATTAAGTCTTAGAATTATCACGCTGATTTATTTTGATAAAATAATCGTCATAATTTTCCTAATGCTAATCTTCCTATAATTCTATTTTATAATTTTTCTAATCCAAATCCTAAATTAATTCCTAATTTTCTTATAATTTTATATTATAAACTTCCCAGTCCTCCGGTTTGACTTATCTTCTTTCTCGATATTTGCATAATTTTCATAAAATTAATATCAAAATTTAAAAAAATAAAACCAAAATTATATTATTAATCGTCAAAGTTTTATTATTTACACACGGTTTTATCCAAAATTTGTTATCTTACGAGAAAAATAAAATTAAAAATTAATAGAGCTAATTTATCATCATTATTATATTGCGGGTCAGTTATCACATCCTATTTAAAATCTTCCTTAAACCTAAAAGTAAATTGAATCGTTTATATAAGTTAATTAAAACGAAAAAAAATAAGATATTAAAAGAAGTAAAACTGCAGCCATTTATTTTAAAGTGATAATTTAATAAGATTCGTGAAGCGACTTTAACACTAAAGAAAAATTCTATTTTCTTAAACGCTGAGATGCATTTTTCTATATAATAACCTTCTGTAAGTAGAAAGAAATGAATCTAATTTTTATTCCATTTCCTGCTTTTCGAGTAGAAAATGTAAGAAAACCTAAACAGCTGTTATTCTTAGCAAGATTCTCTGGTTGAGCATTACAGTTATAATGAACTGCTAACTAACTAACTATATCTTCATTACATGATTCCACACGTGATCATATGAGGATTCTCAGCAGTCGCCATGACAACGAGAAGAGAGAGAGAGAGAAGTCACCTGTAGTCCCTGAGAAGCTGTGTATGAATATTAATGAGAAGGAAACGGTCGAAAGTCAGCATGGTAATTATACCATGTGATGACAGGTCATACATTCCACCGGACATACGATGTTATTGTGACATAATTTTGCAGTTTATCTCCTTTTCTCAGATTTTATCCGGGATAAAATGGATAAAGAGAAAACGAGGTTAACATCGGAGATATTTTTCTTATTTTTAAACACATTTATGAAAATTATCTAATAATATCTCTGTCATAATTTACTAAAATAAAATTCCAATTAAATTTTAATTAGATTATATCGTAGTTTATTAAACAAGATCTCATCACGTCACATAATTTCCTCGCATCTCTTCTCTTTTCNTTATTACCATATTATAATTAATGTGGTAATAAAACAATTAATTGCTCTACAGACAATAAAGTAAAATAGATAAATGCTATATAATTATTTATTAATTTATCTAAAATGGCCTAATATAGGTCCAAATTCTAATTGTTTACTTAGCAATATACAGAATGATCCTAATATTATTGCAGTTTTGCATTTAGTAACAAATCACAAATAAATTTATATTTACCTTTAAATTAATAATAAAATCTACCGTATAATTTCTTCAAATATTTGATTACACAAAGACTATTTTGCTCGAATCATGTAGTTGTTAACATCTAATATATATTTAAAAATATAGATTATACAGTTAAATTACACGTTACAAACTATATTATTACATCATAAACCGTTAAACATTAATATAAAAGCTCCAATTTTTCTTTTGTGTAAGTTTATTATAAACTATAGAAAGACTAATGTTCTATTTACAATTGAATAGACTACATTTACATTAAAATATTGTGTTTAACAGTTTAATTATCTTTTAAATTTGAATTATAAAACATGAATTTACTAAAATTAAATATATTTACATTTTTCTCCATTAAATGCAATAGATTCTTGTCAAGTATAACTACACAAAATCTCCAAATTTTAAAACGATTTTGTCGTAGAGAAATAATAAAAAAGTAATTTAAAATTTGGAAATTTTTATCCATCTTAATGGTCATTGACTCCTATTTTCATGGCTTATTTATTAACAAACTCACGTGTTTACTATTATTTATTCCTTCCCAATTTCTGCCTAAGTCTTGCCTAATTAATTTTGTTGACATAAAGTTATTTTCTAATATATTTTATTTGGAATCTATATATAGATCTACTACAGTCCTATTAGTCGACCACTTAAATTTTCTATTAGTACAATGCTGATCCTCGTACCTGACCAATATCAATTTATGATGATAATTTTCCTATCTTTGATTAATAATATCATGCACGCTAGCTTTATTCCCATTAAATTTGTATATTTTCTATCATAAATATATTAGATTATTGTTTAATTTTAATATTAAGAGACAAATTTAACAGAAAATAAAATATTTTAGTTAAAAATTAGCTTATAAAATTGTAAATTTAATCATCTTTCTATCCTATAAATGATAATTCTCCAATCCTTGATTAGTAATATCATTCACGTTAGCTTTATTCTCGTTTAATTTATATATTTTTTATTATAAATATAATAAATTATTGTTTAAATTTAATATTAAAAAGCCAATTTAATAAAATCATCTTATAAAATTGAGAATTTAATAAGTAAAGCTGCTAAAATTATTACAGCTTTAGTCATTTATTTTTCTATTTGTTTATATATTTTAATTTAAAAATATAATTTATTTTAAGTAAAATACATATAAAACTTTATATATTTTTAATTTTTTGTAATGTTAAGGATATTATAGTGTTAGAAAAATATCGATATTTTGTAAGTAACGTCTCACGATTAATAATATGATCGATGAAAGAAAAAATTCAGTAAAATTAAAAATTCCCAAAAAGAAGCAAATGTTGATATCAAAATGTAGTTTTTTTCCTTCTTCTTCTTCCCAGATTGATAAAACATATTTTAAAGTTTGGACACAATCAAACATAATGGAGTAGCTAGATAAACTGTTTATTTCCAATCCGCTCGTAAATCAACTAAAGCAAGCAAGCACTTTGGGAGGTAGACTCTAATCTTACTTGAAAAAATTTCTTCTTTTTTCAAAATATTAAAGAAGAACCAGACAGATTTTCAATCATACAAAAATGTTTTCTGAAAATAAAATATATATATATATATTTTTTTTAAATTAAAAAAATGATGCCCGCTTCAATTCACAGAAGCTAGATTTAGAGGAAAACAATTAGCATAAAGGCCTCATTCTAAAATTAATATTTGAACGCTGCTCGTAAATTACATAACGGATAATTAATTTTATAATTACCTCTACTTTCAGAACTCATGACATTAGCGCAAGCTTGAAATCGGAATAAGAGACGAGAATCGTCGGTGCAGGAATCAATGGAAGATACGGGATTCGCACATTCACCACTGTCTCTTCTATAAGTAAAGGTAAAAGGTCCACTAAATGGGCAACCAACCGGCGCAGAACCCACTGAAAGAGTAAAAAAAAAAAACAAAAAAAAAACCAAAGAAGAAAAATCATTTTCACGTAAATAATTGTATAAGAAAGTGATTTTCGTCTATTAATGAATATGACTACGTCTAGATGGAGCCACTAATAGTCGATGCTATCTCTTAACAATGATCCTCACTCTATTATTAAGAAGATAATGAAAATGATAAGGTAAGTAATTTATATCTAGAAAAAAAAACTTTTCTAATAATAAATTACACTTAATAAAGTTTAAAAAAGATTATAATTTTGTTTCAAAAATAAAAAAAAAAGTATTTATAACGGTTAAAGGTTAAACAGGGCTTTATACCAAAAATAGTATTTTTATTGAAGTCAAAGTTATACCGTGTTGTAATTATTGAGGTATACTAAGAGGTTTCTATCAAAAAAAGAGCCTGGAGTGTTTTATAATTCCCGGGGTTTGCTGTTAAAAGCTCATTAAGTCGAGCCCTCTTTGCTAGAATGACTTATCTTCTGCAATCAATACTGACACCTAGGATCTTCGAAATTACGTAAACACGAGAAGCGTACCACATTGATGAGTCGGCCCCCCGTGGGAACCACAAAACCTTGCCTTTAATCAATTAAGCGGAAGGGAGGATTAAAGAAAAAAGGAGGAGAAAGAGAAGGGAGCAACGCAGAGGGAGAGAGAGAGAGAGAGAGAGTGAGTGAGTGAGTTAAAACACTACACACAACATTGTTAATTCCTCTGTCGGGATAATAGGCTGACAATCACCCGTGGTGTTTTGTAAACTGCCATCTTTGCTTCGTTGTTGGATTAAAAGTTGTGGATTAAAACTTTGGTAACTTCGCTTGTTAACGGCTGTTGTTATGGCATTTCTGCCTTTTGTTCCGTTCTGTTCTTACCACACCGTGGAAACTTGGCTCGTTCCCGCTCATATCTGCGGTTCTACTATGGTAATAAAACCTTACTATACGCATTAAATAGTCCGTTAGAAGAGATTTACTCTCCAGGATTTATCATCGATGTAGTAGCATTGTTATCCTGGTAAATACTAACCACCAGACACTATTATTGTTAGATTTACAATAGTAATATATTTAAATGATTTATTATTAAGTAAAATTTATTTTTATACATTTTTAATTTTCCATTTGTCGTATTATGAATTCTAAATCACGCTTTCATATTCGGTAAATTCTATTTACATCCTGCTCCTAAATCCGATTTATATTTAATTTTGTCATCTTCTATATTAATTTATACTTATATAATTAGTATCTAGTCATTTTTAAAAGTAGTTTACGTATAATTACTTATTTTTATGTTTCCATACTTCACTATTTTTTATCTTTCCATCTTTTGTCCTAATCAAAATATTAGGTTCAAAGCGCACATAGAACTTTATTTTTCTTATTAAAACATCTTTATGGCTGATTTTAAAAGTCATTTTCGGTTTTACGACTTTAGAAATCTTCTGCAGACTTTAACAAGAATTCCAAACGAATTCCAAACAAGCCGTGTGAGAAATTTCTTACTCTTAGACTCGACTATTATAGACGGAGTGACAAATAATTCTAGACTGATTGATGATTGTCCAGTAAGATGCATGCATCAGTTACTTCTTCCTTAGCATCCGATGTTTATATCCGAGTGTTCCATCAAAGGAGCAGTTAAGTGTTCCTGGTGGCAGCAACCTGCTGAGTACGACTTGCATTTATCACGGTGTCCGTTAATTCCACATCGATCTTTGGTCACGAGACAAAATAAACGATGCAGTCATTTAACTTCAATACACGAACCTATTCCGATTGATCCCGGTATTAAAGGTAACAATAAGCGGCATTTTCTATATAGAATTTTTTTTATCCTTAATGAAGAAAAACAGGAGGAAGCTGACGATGAGTAATGCTATTAAATTTGTGCAAATGTTAAAGAGTGCGCTTACTACAAAAATGGAAAAAGGAAAATTGTTTTCTCTCCCGCTACGTACTGTACTTTAATATTTACCCATAAAGATGATTTATTAATTATTCTTGTTTTATATCTTAAATTTCCTGTCATTTATTTANTTCTTTTTTCAAAATATTAAAGAAGAACCAGACAGATTTTCAATCATACAAAAATGTTTTCTGAAAATAAAATATATATATATATATTTTTTTTTCCTTTTTTTTATTATGAAAAAAGTATCGAAGTGAGTAGTTAGTTATAACTTCTACCTTTTTATATTCCCATGAAAAGAAGTTTTCCTACTATTTACACTTATTTCAAAACGCCCAAAATTTATTAATGGTAAGGTTTAGATCTTTTCAAAGATTGTACTGAAGTAGTAAAGTGTCGTAACTCTTATTGAGTGTTTCTTTATCTTCGCCCCTTTTCAATAGGAGTTTTTACATAGGGAAACAATTTCCCTCTTCTCTGCTTTAGAAATATTCAAAATATTCTATACAATTCGTCTCATACACTCAATATATCTTCAATTTAAAATTATTTAAGTGGAAGAGAAAAAAAAAATGGTATACATTTTTCGTTCCAACAATTTTAAACTGAAGTTTCTCTTCAACTTTTCGTTGCTAGGATAAACGTCTGCACGATTTAATACGGAAACATTGTTTAACGCTTAGCCAAAAAAGTAAAAGGTAAATTGGATATCGTAATAAGTTGGTTTGAGCCCGAAGCATCAATGGCTGGGAGCGTACATTGACGAGGGGATAAAGCGAGTTGCAGTTAAAAGGCCGCTATACGGAGGTGTTGTTCTTGGCATGTAAGGTGTTTCATTAGTTAAGTCGCAGTAATTACATCGGAGATAGACAGGGAGTCACGTTTTTAGCTGGGAAGATTAAAAAACTTATAATTAAATGCAGCCTTGAGCCATTTTTCTCAATCGATGGTGGTCCAAGAATTTCCGCTGCAAACCATATTGAGAATTGAAATTTCTCGTAATGAAAACATAATTTTCTCCCCTCTGTCCAATTACCTTACTTACAGGCCTCTGTATCTAACTTTATAAAAAAACGGGGGCCTTTACTATTTAGGTATTTCTACGTATGCAGTTTTCTATTTAAAAAAAAGTCTGTCGTTTTCTTATTAAAATTCCTTTACTAATCTGTAAAATTATAGACAATATAGAAATGCTATATAATTATTTATTAATTTATCTAAAATGGCCTAATATAGGTCCAAATTCTAATTGTTTACTTAGCAATATACAGAATGATCCTAATATTATTGCAGTTTTGCATTTAGTAACAAATCACAAATAAATTTATATTTACCTTTAAATTAATAATAAAATCTACCGTATAATTTCTTCAAATATTTGATTACACAAAGACTATTTTGCTCGAATCATGTAGTTGTTAACATCTAATATATATTTAAAAATATAGATTATACAGTTAAATTACACGTTACAAACTATATTATTACATCATAAACCGTTAAACATTAATATAAAAGCTCCAATTTTTCTTTTGTGTAAGTTTATTATAAACTATAGAAAGACTAATGTTCTATTTACAATTGAATAGACTACATTTACATTAAAATATTGTGTTTAACAGTTTAATTATCTTTTAAATTTGAATTATAAAACATGAATTTACTAAAATTAAATATATTTACATTTTTCTCCATTAAATGCAATAGATTCTTGTCAAGTATAACTACACAAAATCTCCAAATTTTAAAACGATTTTGTCGTAGAGAAATAATAAAAAAGTAATTTAAAATTTGGAAATTTTTATCCATCTTAATGGTCATTGACTCCTATTTTCATGGCTTATTTATTAACAAACTCACGTGTTTACTATTATTTATTCCTTCCCAATTTCTGCCTAAGTCTTGCCTAATTAATTTTGTTGACATAAAGTTATTTTCTAATATATTTTATTTGGAATCTATATATAGATCTACTACAGTCCTATTAGTCGACCACTTAAATTTTCTATTAGTACAATGCTGATCCTCGTACCTGACCAATATCAATTTATGATGATAATTTTCCTATCTTTGATTAATAATATCATGCACGCTAGCTTTATTCCCATTAAATTTGTATATTTNAGATGATTTATTAATTATTCTTGTTTTATATCTTAAATTTCCTGTCATTTATTTATTTAAATACTTTTATATTATTATAGCGGATAATTTATTTATGAAGATACATGACTTTATTTCGTAATATTCACTCGTAATCCAATCAAAACAACTATTTTCAAATTGTATATGGAAATATCTAAATAAACCTTTACTTGAAAATAGAATTATATTTGAATTTCTAATTAAAATTACATAATTTTCATTGGTTTAATATTAAATTTAAGATAAACTTAATAATATATTAAACTTTTGGAATTGAATTCCACGTATCAGCTAGTGTTATCAATTATGTTCTAAGTTAAATAAATCTCCTTCTCTTCTCTACTTCATTCTGATTAGATTTCTTAAGCATTAATTATAATTTGACCTGTACGTATTCCCCTTATAATTTTTATTTTGTAATTAAATTCTTTCTGTCTTATATTAACAATGTTATCAATTATTTTCTTTGATCTCAATACATTTATTGTATTTTATACTTAATTTCTATCATGTTATTTATTTAAACTAATTTTTATTTGTATAATTTATTTATTTAATCCTCTGTAATTTTGCCAGAAGGTGTGCCCTTATGTAGCATTTATTATTAAATAAATAAATATTCATCTATACCATCACCCCAGATGGATATTTTTATTTATTTATTTAATATTAATTATTTAATTAATAAACACATTTTAAATTTACGAATCTGCTATTTAGTAAGTCAATAATCTTCTTACTTGTCGCTAAATTTTCATTTAATACCATTAAGCACTTTAATTTCTCAAAGAAAATCCTTTATTAATCACAGATATCAAAATCACATTTTTAATCAACTTAAATCGCATATAATTAACTCTTATCACTGTTCTAGCTTCTATTGAATGCAATTATCTTTAAATTCTTTTAACCACAATCTACAACGAGTTTAATTATATCTATACTAAATTTATCCAATTAATCTCTTGATTATAATTATGTTCTTCAACGAATAGGAACTCCAAAAATTTGAAGTGTAAATTAGTTTTACTCGAATTCTTTTCGGATTACCCTCATACCCCCTAATCACGCTGATTTTAATATTCTCTGTCCGACAGCGTGACAGCTTGAATGAAAATTTTATCTCTCTTGTCATCATACCAGAGACAAATACCCATCTTCATCCTCAGTTCGCACTGACATGATTAGTATTAGAGAGCATCGATCCCGATATGATTGAAAGACTGCATTGAATTACTAAGTTAAATATGTCACCAACTCCGTAAGGTTAAATTGATAATCCTTAAAATTATAATCTTAAGAAGGGATTGATAGCTCATAGATTACGTTATTGATGTATGGTTGCCTTATTTTCGGTCTAATAAGAACTATAACATAGAGAAGATCGATTCTGTTGAGCTTGCTTGATGCTCCTATATTGCAAAAGTGTGTTTTAAAGAAGATATCGAGATTTCTACTGTGTTTTGCCTTCAAATTTATTATATTAATTGTAGTTTATATAGTATTTACGATGTTTAACGTATATTGAAGTCGTACGAAGCGATAGAAAAGAAGGAAAGATAGATAAATAGTGAAAACTCGGTAAGAACTAGATAAGACATTCCCCGGTGGCCCACCATACAAAAAGCTATTACACAAGCGTAAGGAGGATTCTGGTCTAAAATTCCTAAGATTGCAGACAATTTAAAACCTGTTTTCTGTTCGTGGTGAAGGAGGAAGCAGCGCAACTCCTTCAACTAAACCTATCGGCACTGCTGACTAAGAAAGAAAATGCTAAGTGGATGGCTGTGTTTTCAAGTACTTGATGTCCTTCGGGAGAAGACGTGAACAATTCCTTCTATTTTTTTCTCTCATTCCTCCTCGTATCTAAGGATCAGTTCTTCTTATCTGGTCTTAGTAAATTTTATGGAATTAACGAAGTAAGTTACTATACTGTGTATGTAGTATCTAAGGTCTTTCAAAACTGGATAAGGATTACCTCTATTCATTCAAATGGAAATGATTATTAGAATTTTCATCGTAATGTTGAGTTTGTTTCCCTCCCTCTCTCTTTCTCTCTCTCTCTGTCTCTCTCTCTCTCTCTTGTTTGGAGACTGGAACTCCAATTGCTTATATATATTTTTGTATAATAAACTAAAAAACGAATATAAATATATTCTAATAAGTAAATTCATTGATTGCGAATGACGAAAATCTTATTTTACTTTATAAAAAATATGGAGATGAAAAAACAAGCTTTGAATCAAAGGTTTTTTCCTTCGTTTCCATTTTTTCTATAAAGTAGAATAAGATTTTGTAAACAGTTAATTAATTTTACTGGAAATAAGACGAATTCAATAATTATTTGCACAAATTTTGTACGATAAACTCAAAATATTAAATCGTTTTATTAGAATATATTCAAAAAAAAAATTGTAATATTAAAGGTTTGGGAAAGACTTTACGATCTTTCCTTTCATTCTTCAACCAAAATTAAAGAAAAATTTTTAGGAAAATTTTGAATTTTTTTTAAAAAGGGACTTTTTATGTTTATGGTTTATGTCGAATTTGCTTACTTACGTCGAAACATAGAGAAAAGCAAAGCATCTCCATTGATCTCCTCGCACAGCAACCCTAAGCTCTGGAACTGATTGATGGGAGAACAGTAACCTAAAATAAAAATACTACTATAGGACTAGTAATAAAATCATGAATGGGAACGTTTAATACAGATTTCGCGGAAAAAAAGCATGTATACAAAAGTATTATGTATATAACTTTGCTTAAATTTGCATAGTTTTTATAGTAAGAAGGGTAAGGCATTACACTCTTTACGATTCTTAATTTCACTTTCTACTCTAATTTACATATAATCTAACATTTTTAAAAAAATAAAAAGACAATTGATTAAATATTTACAATTGTCAATTTATTGATATTAGAAATTTAAAAGCATTTAAACTAAGAAAATTATTAAAATGAGCGATTTTTTTAAATCCAAATTTAAGCAGAGTAATTTTAAATATTAAAAAATTAAATACATTTCCTTGATTTTTGTGAAGACTTTAAAGATTTTTATATAGTAAAATAGATAAATAAATTTTTTATTTCTTTTATTTCGAATGAATAATGGATTTTTTCTTGTAGTTATAACTTTAGTCTCAACATTTATCAATGTTAAAATTCTGCTTGCATAGTGATTATCGAAATTTAATTCACTGGTTACGTAGAGACAATACGATTCATAGAATCATTTTTAAACCATTCAGTTTCAGGAAATACATCAAGAAATTCCTCAAGTTCAAATATTGATGTAGCAGTTGCGATAACAATTCTCTCTATAATCTGTAATCAATGGTTTACATTCTTGTTTCCAACTCTCAACACGATTCCCGATAACTTGCCACGGATTTCCAATTGCATTTTATATCCCAGCATCGTGGACTACAATCAATAATTCCAATCGAAGTTGGTGCAAACTTATAAGAGGCAACTGTGTATTGTCAAAGCGACAATATGCATTCGATGGAAGTTGAGTCGAAAATATCGCATTTTGTATGATTTGAACGCTTAGACTATAATATAGATCAAAGGAGTGTAGAAACGGAAAGACCGAGTCTTTTCATGAGGAAACCATGTAAAACGTTGCTATAATAAACCGAAAATTTCGTTTTTAAACTAATAATCTAATAGAAAATGATTAGAAATTAGTATTGCATGAATATTTTAAGAAGTAACTACGTGAGAAAGAGTATAAATACGCAATCATCGTGTGATGTTGAGACTTTACATATTAATATAAATTTTTGATTGGGTGAAACGTAGAGCCAAAGTAGAATAAAGATCAAGACGTAGAGTATTCTTGAGATTAACAGACGAATATATTCAATAGAAGTTCATATTTTACATCAAAATAAAACACATCACTACGTCAATTTGATGTCATTTTACATTTCTCCATTGCCTAAAAGTGTAAAATTGACGTAAAAGTATATGCCAAAACGAAATTTAAAAGACACGTTTCGTTATTTAGAAAGTATATTTTAAACGAAATTTTATCACTGATCGACAGACAAACAGCCTATAAAATAAGATTAGTACCGTCATGGACTGAAGGTAAATAAAAGATTACTGATTTTAATAGATTGTGTCTTAATTTTATTCAAATATAATCAATTTGAGATAAGAAACCTCTAATTTCTTTGTGTTAACAGAATGAATAAAAAACATTCTTCCTGGTAAATTTTTGATATGATAATGTATACTCTCTATATTCTTACTTGGAAAGTAAGAATAAAACTCAATACTACTTACTAATTAGAAATTCAATTGATCGCAGCATAATTTCATTAATCAATTGAAAAATGCTTGGAATTATTCGAATAAAACTTTTTATTATAGAATTATTTACATTTTAAACTATTATTTAATATAATAATATTAACACCTATTTAGAATTATTCTACAAAAGAAAAGTGAGATAAGATGACGTTTCCTTGTTTTTCTTTTGTTTTATGATCTGGCGACATCATCTTGTTGATATACGACATCAATATCTGCAGCAAGTAAACGAAGAAGTGATAGAGATCTACAGCTTCAATTTTCCAAAAAAGTTGTGTTTATTTTTACTCGATTTTAAGATCTTAATTCAAGTTATATTTCTCATAAAATTTATTTAATTCCAAAGTTATAAACTGCAATTAAAGAGATAATAAATTTTGTTGTAAGCGTAGGATAAGATGAAGAATTCGTTGCTACTCCGATGACACTCCCATACATGTCAACTCCTAAACATTACCATTATCTTTCTAGAAATTATGCAAAAGGCTTTCTGGAAATTTCTTACATCTAATTTTCGGTAAGATAATGGTAATGTTTAGAACTTGACATGTATGGGAGTGTCATCGGAGCAGCTACAAATTCTTCATCTTAAACCACGTACTTATTTTATAGGAAAATAATCAAGCATTATGATTAGAGTGAATATATATTATTGTAGAATTTACATTAATATAATGACATTTTAAAGAAACAATTAAATATGTAAATATCGCATTAAATTCATTATTCACAGTAATGTTTATTAACTACAACATTTTACATTAATATAATGACAATTTATAGAAACAATTAAATATGTAAATATCGCATTAAATTCATTATTCACAGCAATTATTAATTAATAAAACATTAGACAAACTGCAGTGATTAAATTTATTTAAAGCACAAAGACAAAATATAGTTTTTGTAATAAATAAAATAATTTTAATCGTTAAGCTGCACGAAATTGGAAAGGGCGATAACGCTTTTCGTTAACATCTAATCTATAAAAGTATAGGTCAAATGAATAAAGTTTGCGTGTAGAAAATAATTTTTTCTCTTTCCCTACTAAAAATTGCATTTTTATAAATTATATCGTATTAGAATTTACATATTTTACGAGAAAATTTCAATTGCATAATCTAATTTTTGCCAGTTTATATTTTTACATTTATTTTTCTAAAAAAACGATCATTTAGTATTTATATAATGTATAATTACAGTAAAAAAANTATCTATTAAATAATATAAAATTCTAATTAAATCTAAAATAAATGTTAATCCTAACTTTAAAATCCTAATTTACTTATAAATTTTAACTTGTAATATAATATGAAGCAATTAAATTTTATTGCAGAATATAAAATGCCTCGGAATTATCTTGAATGTTAGAACTTTACTCATAGGAATTGGGATGAGAACGAAGTGACAGTTGCAATTCATGTTTTAAGAAAAGAGATTATGCAATGTAATAGTGCAGCTATCATATGTAATATTCCATAACAAATCTTCCGAAGAAATTTCAAAAAGAAACAGAAAATTTACAATGTCATGCGAAACGTATTTACAGCATCTTTAATGAAGGACAATTATATGAAGTAGCAAATCAACTTTTCTAGAATACATCAAAAGAGATTTGAATTTACAACTCTTCAAAGTGAAGAAATTATATTTGAATATGTTGAAAATTTTTTGGAAGAAACTTAGAGAAAAGAATGAGCTTCAAACCTAAGCAAAGTATTCATTATGATAAGTTTTGTATATTTTGTCTTGCTTTTGAGGAAACGTAAGGGAATTTCAGAGGTTTGTAATCTCCAGTTATTGTTTTAATGAGAGCTTAAGAAAGGAAGGAAAATAACAGAAAAACAAGTAGAAATATGAAATCCATTATAGCCCATTCGTGGAATATTTATTAATTAATTAATTAGTACGAGGAACCAGCTCAGTATAGGTTGTATGTACGGCGGAGAGAGATAGGAAATGCTCAGAATCATATTATTCATGATAAATTGTTAAGTATGGACCAGATTCGAATTCGAATCTTCATTAATGGTAGCCTAATGCCTTACTCCACTCCATCTGGACAATAAATTTTGAGATAACATAACAAATATCTATTTTTATTTACTTTTTATTATTTTTCTCTTTTATGGATTACGTCGGAATAAAGTTTTAATTGGGCTAATAAAGAAAATATTTCATCATTATCATCTGAGCTCATGGAGTTAGAAAGATTTCTACCTACATTACTTTCAAAATCTTTCCGCCTCTTCGTTCTGCCTCTAGATCTTTTTCAAATTGTGCGAAATTAATTAAAATTATAAGTATTTCATATTTTCGAAACAGGCCTAATTAGAATTCTATTTATTATATTTCTATACTTAATTATCTCAAAAGGAAGTTAACATCCTTAGCGCTCTTCTACCAAAGCTATTTAACTTTTGAATATAAAATTATAACAAAGAATGTCTCTATTACGCATACTTAGAGAGAAAATATAACTATCTTCAGAAAGATATTTTAAAAATTATTAATGCATGCTATCAGAGAAATTAGAAAGCATTTTTTTTTTCACTAATTCTCATTTACAGATCTAGCCCAATCACTATGGATGTTCCGTCAAGCATGCAGCAATATAATCCATTATGTAGATTTAGAACGGTGTTAAACTTTAAAATAATCGCCGTCTATTTACCAAACAACTTATAATTAAGCACAATGCAATAATCGGCCTTAGTGGGAAAAGAACCCATTATCGGAAGCGAAAGCATTTTGATTATGAGAGCATTCATTTGCTTCTTATCTTATTTTATCGGAGTAGAAAAACTTATACCAATGAGTAGAACGTCCATCTGGTAATATTTACAGAGTTTCACATTAAGACAACGTTATAGAGGTAAGTATATTAGAGCAGTGTCACGGGACTACTTCAGCTACACGTCTAATCTGCACACTTCTTCGATGTAAGTAAGGGCTATTACATAAATCACATTCAGAGTTAGAGGGAAAAAAATCAATATTTCAATACTTTTTTCCTTCGTTTTACTTATAAAAAATATATTCCGAGATGTGCAAAGTGCATCACAATTAAAAGAGAAAGATTCCAACTTTGCATTTTGTCAATTGCAGAGATATTGCTTTCCTTTTTTTTATACTAAGAATGAGGTGCAATTAAAACTTTCTAGATGTTCGATATCTTTGGACGAATCTAAATTAGTCTAGTGCTACACTTTCATGAACTATGCATGAATTGCCATTTTAAATAGTTTCTCTTTGCTTTATCAGCACAATTCTTTTTAAAATATTCAGAAAAGAAAAAGTTTCGATGGTTCCTTAAAATCGCCTTTTAGGAAAGGCAGGATTTATATGATCCAAAGTTATGTTTATGGAAATCCAATAAACCCGAACTGAAAGACTGTTCAGTTTCAAAATGCTATAAAATTCGTATATAAGCTTAAGATTCTAGAATTAATGTGTAAATTCTATTGTTTATAATGCTACAATTAAAATAAAATCATTGTTTACATCAAAAATAAACTATTTCATCTGAAAATTTTACTTCAAATTTCAAATTCTTATGGGAAATCAACAAGGAAAAACGATTCAAATGGTTCTTTAACGGTCTTCCAATGGCCTTCTAACAGTCTTCGATTTTTCTTAGCACTTACAAGATCTATATAAATCTTGAAAGTGTTGATTGTTTGTTTTTAAATATTAGAATTAATACAATAAATCTTAAACTCTATGTGTAAAGTCTCATAAATAAAAGGATACTTTAAGAAGTAGTTAAACGTATCCAAGTCTTTAACGCTCCACCTTAAATTTGAAAGAACTACATAAAATTACCTTAAACTAAGGCCTTTCTACAGACGTTACAACTAGCAATTACCTTACTTATAATAAGGTGTTGCTATTGCAATAAAAATTTATAATGCCATAAAGGTCACATAAGTGTGAGGAGGGGGGAAAAAAGACTGTTTTATTTTACCGGAGGTAAAAACCATATTTTAAAACTTGAAAGTCATAATGTTAAAACATAACATATATTCTCAATTGTATCGTCTTCGGTGACAAAAAGTAATATCCTGTGTAGAAGAAAAGGAAACAGTTTTTGGCAACAGTATTTATCAATCTGACATCCTCTCACCGAATTGATGCAAGACGCAATACATTACAACCACAGCAAATAATGTAGTACAAATCTACAACTGACATTCGCTATTTTTCCTTCTTAACCTTTGCAAATACATTTATAGATCATGTGAGTAATAGCCACTTTCTCAAAAAATTCCATCTGGTTCCTTTCGAAATTTATAATTTAAAACAATTTCAATCCGTCTCGAGTTGTTTACGTTTACCTGATTGGAGGATCCATATCGGTTCCAAGCGAATTTCCTTTTTTTTCTACTATTTCTTTCATTATTGAATTGACAGATTTTACGTTAAATGTGATGTTAACGACTATATAATGGATGGCAAAGGTTAAAAAAATGAAGTTTTCGCAATTACTCCCTTCTTATAACTTGTATTAAGCGTGAATCATTTACGGATCAGGCAGAATTTTCGCATTAATCTGCCTTACAGAGGAGAAATTCAACAGTTTTCCAATTCCCTAACATCTTTAAGCCAATATTTCTTAAGTTTATTTATTTATTTTGACCATCTCTTTTAGAGTCATTGAAGACTGAGCATCGTGAGTATGATTTGCAGTCTCCTTGGGGGTAGAGATCGAAGAGTTGAGAAAATTTTATCTAGAATAAATATATTTATATTTTTTAAAATTTGTAATATTATATTAACATTGATAAGTTTATGAATTATTGAACGGTCTACCTTTTTTTAATTTTTTTTTTGTATTTAGAATGCTACAATTCATTTTTTTATCCAGAAAAACGAAGCGAGCAAGGTATTCTAATTCACCACGAAGGAAAATAAATGACTGATTAAATTGTGTTTAATAAATCATAAATTTTAAAATATAAGTAAATTCTCTTCCTTGCTTGAAAACGAAAGAAATAAATTGAATAGGATGGCAAAATTTAACGCTCAAAATGCTTAAAATTGGAGTTAATGATGATTAATCTTCATCTTTTGGGCTTAAATTCTCTATGATCAAATGCTTAGCGTTTAATAATATAAACGTTAATGTTTATAACATAATAGATGTAGTTATAACATAATTAGAGCACAGTATAGTGTAAGATAATATATAGTTTAATGCTTATAATATAGTATCATACAGTGTAGTGCTTGTAGTTACTTAATCATAATAGTAATTATTATGTTCCTTTGTTTTTATATGGGAGTATATAAACTGATGAGAGAAGGAGGAATGAGTAAGACATTTTGGAGGACTTGTTACTTTTTTTTTTGAAAAATTAATATAGTACAGTAAAGTGACAACAGACACTTTCTCATGTCTGAAGAGTGATCTTTTCAAATATCGTATTTCTTATAGTGTCAACATAACTGTCTGAGGATTTTATCAAATACTTAGACGAAAAATAATAAAAATAGTTACACGTTAAACTTAATGGATATGAATTTTTAATGTAATTATCATCAAAATTAATTGATTAATTATTTAAGATTGATAAAATTTTAATAACGTCAAACAGTAATTTCATATTCTCTAATAAAACAACGCGAATTTAATGTTTGATATATAATATATTTAATTAATTTTAATTATAATTTTAATATAATCAATGAATAACGTGAAATTTAGTAGAAAGTAATGAATTTTTTTTAATAGAAAAAATGTAATAATTTAGATAATTTATATAAAATTCTTTACAAAAGTTTGCTTTTAGAAATTAAATAGAAATATATTACATTAATAAAGTTATTAACATGATAAATAATTTAAATTACAATATACATATAATAAATATACTTACTTTCTTTATATTGCAATACATTTTCATGTTTTTCATGCATGACCACGCATCTGTAGCATTTTTCGTTCCTATAAAAAATAAGAATATTTATAAATATATTAAANCCCTTTCAGAATATTTCTCTCTAATTTCCTTTCTAGATAGAGCTTCTTTACACAAGCAAAGTTTGTTCAGCAAACAGAAGAGAACAAATAGAGAAACAGAATTAAGTTATAGAATGGAAAAGAATTTCTTCAAATGAGAAGAAAAGTATAGCTATATCACAGCCAAATATTTAATTTTTGCCAAAATAACAATGACATAATAAATTATAAAAGAAGAAAAAAGAAGGAGGGGGAATAGTGCACGCTTGATAATAAAAAGTCAATAGAAATGTGACTTTTCTTTGTTTGTTTTTTTAATAGAAATTTTGTTACAGATTTTAAAATTTTATTTTTATTAATTCTTACTTTTAAAAGTTTATAGTACAAAAAATAATTATTATATACATTAAATTTTTGGAAGAATTAATGTTAAATTAAAAAAAAAAATTAGATAAAAAATTTATATAAGCCCTATAAATTTGTAATTTCTTTACTATATTTAAGAATTTATTACAGAAATTTTATTAAATATTTCATGCATAGATCTGTAAATTTCTTCTTATAGAAATCAAATAAACAAAGATCATACATGGAAGATAATGTTCGAGATAAAGTTTTGAGCATTTCTCTTCGATCATCTAAGATTCATATGTTTCTATTAATTTATAATTGAAAATATATTATGTTTTTACATTCTTATAAAATATTAAATAAATTCTGTGAAATTTTAGAAATTTTCTAATAATATAAAGAATGAAAGTCTTAAAGACATATGTTTAAAAATGTTTATTTTAATCCTTAGATCAAATCCCAATGGTAAATACATCAGAAATTTTATAATTTTTACTTTAAAATTATATTTCGAACAAAAACCTTCTCAAATTACGGCATTTTTCTCAATTGGCATCAATTTTTAGTAAGCGATATAATAAAATAGATAAAGAGTAGTTTCAAACGAATTATATAGTTTCCATTTAAAAAAAAAAACTAAATTTAATTCCCCTACAAATAGAAGAATTAATAACTTTTATTTTAACTGATAATGTGAAATGCGTATATCTACAGAAAATGGATAGTTCTCTTAGTAAACCGAATCCACTTTCTAACTCCCAATGACTTTATCGTAACTGGAATGGAGGACTCATAAATCAACTAGAGTTTTGGTCCCTCGCTCGGGGACTTCAAGTATCAAGAAGAGTTGAACGAAACAAATTGCGTGCGTGAAAACCTAAAGTTAGGGGGAAAAAAAGAAAAGTGGAAACAATCGATAAAAAAACGTTGATCCTAGAGGGATGCTCGGATTTCAACGATTCCTGCTACCATTTGCATCGATTTACTTATCTATGGGTCTTTCCATCTGGAATTATTTGACTGACACTCCGAATCGAAATATTTTGACTCCAAACTGAATCTAGAATTTGGTGCGACTAAAAAATTCCATTGTCAAAACGCAAATATTTAATAAAATATAATATTCTCTTTCTAAATCGAACGGCTCTAAGAAAAGATCCTTTTGTGGTTGATAAAAGGAAAAGAAATTTTACTTTCCAGATGGCTTAATTACAATTTGCAAGTACTTTTAATTCTCAAAAGAGTTCATTGTTCTTATTTAAAAGTGGAAGAAATGAATTCAAATTTCCTAAAATGATTCCTTTCAAGAAATCCGTTTAAATTCTTGAAAGCCAACCATCCTGCAACGTAAATGGAGATAAGATTACATCAGTGCAGACTCAGAACAGCTTCATTTTTCCAGTATATATTCTCTACCGTATCATAGAATTTTCAGAAATAAATTTATGCGGCATTAGTAACTTAAATATACTTGAAGGCCTTTTATAATTTAGCATCGTCTCACCAAAGTTAAGAAGGATTAAAGTGCTTTGCATTAAAAATGTGACACGTGATAGCATTAACGGCGTACAAAGGAGAATAAGAACTATAAATTTCTCTATAGCAAAAGAGTCATATAATGTTTAATATTAACTTAATGATAAAATAAAACTACCAAAGTACTTCAGAGCTCTATAGGGAGTATAATTGCCCCAGACACATTTACTACATGGACGTAAACAGCAGATTATCTTGTTAAGCCATAACTACTAAATTACTCTCGATCTAAGCATTCTGTAGAAGATGTTTACCAATTTGCAATCAGCTATTCCTATGTTACGCCAATGATAGCTAATTGTGTGACCTTTGCCAGATCTCAATTATCCATCCTGACCAAACAATGTAAATCATTACGCTTTGCAGCTGTTCCATTATGTGTATAATTCATGTTAATATGATTAGTTAGTAAAATATTTGTATATTATAATGTTTGGGTGTATTTTAATGGAAAAGGATCGATACTTTTGAAATGGCTATTCCATTTAATTTACAAATTTTCCAATTTGCAAAGCAAATTTGTCCTATATAAAAAGAACCATCGTCGAGATTGTATTTTTCAACCTCTTTTTCATTGGTATTATGTTACTAAAAACACAGAATGGATAATGTTTTTTTGAGAAAAATAGATATAGAAATTACTGATGGAAAAGATAAGACCATTTATATTTTGCACAATTTTTAAATTAATAAATTTTTATTTACAAAAAAGTCACATGTTCAAAGCGTACGAGAAGGAAGAGAAGATCGAAAAATTTTTACATTTTCGCAAAGAATTTAAATAATTTTTACAAATTCAAGCTTAAGAATAAGATGAAGAAATGAATAAATTTTTATTTTAAATAAAAAAAAATAAATGTATCTAAAAAACGAATATTATTAAGCCAATACTATTTAAAAATGCAAAAGATTTGGACGTTTGATTTCTAAAAAAGTCTGTTATGAATTAATACTAAGATATGTTTTCATATTTAAAGTTTCGCACTTGATGAAAGTAAAGTAGAAGAGGTTGAAGAAGCAGAAATGTAAACATAAGTATCATGAGAAGGGAAGAGAAGTAATTAATAAATAACTATGAATTGTTCATTGTTATCAACACAAAGATACTTTCGAATGTAATCATCTTCAGATCTATCTCGATATGAGTAGAAAAACTAATCTTCTTCACCTCGCAATCATTTCCAATCTTTGTAGAAAACAACTTATTCTTTCCTCAACACAATTTCCAAAATCCATTAGAATCTTGCTTATCACTTTGAAAATCAAGAAGAAATGATTTCTTTCCTGTTCTTTTAATTCATTTCTATATACAAACTTTGTAAAAGTGAAGTAAATCTATCCTGGATCAAATAAAATAAAATTAGGCTTTTGTTTATATCAAAAAGTTCTTGAAAAAAAGAACAAAATCCTGGAATTATATCAAAGAAAACTGTAAACAATTTTCATTTTCATACAACTTGCAAGAAAAACTTTATTTTTTTTGATTAAGAATTAATTTATTAAAATACTAAAACTTCAGAATTTGAATTATATATATATATATATATATATATAGACATATTTTTGTTACATGCAAGAAAACATTTTTTTCGACGATATTTTGTTTAAAAATACACAATTCAATGGAATATTGATGTCTAAAGAAGATATTGATAAAGAAATATGGATGTTGGAAAAGTTTTTTCAGGTACTGTTTTGTTTTTTCAGTAACAGTAAACAAACTAAATGATAATATATATATATGTTTTCTGATCAGACCATAAAATAAAATATATTTTGATTTTATTTCTCTGTAAAAGCTTAAACTTTTATTTCTTTCCATTTCTGTCTTCAATTTTATACAATTTATTTTTAACCAACTATTTGAAGATTATTGTTCCAAAGATCCTAAGATGCTGAATAACTTAACAAGTCTATTACCAGATTATTTAAAGAATATTTTTATATATATTTAAGGTAAATATATATATTATGCATAAATTCTCACATGGTGATATTATTATCCCGTTTAAGAAATTTCATTCGAAGAGATGAGTGAGATGTGATTTAAAGAGGTGAGATTTAATCCGCATCATTTGTGTACGACTCATTCTTTTTCTTCTGTTAACAATATTGCATTTAAGTGCTTACTGATTAAATTAGACTATCCACTATAACTCTTTAGTAATGAAGTTATCTACATTCTGCTATAGGAATAAAATTAGACAGTTGAGGTCACAATATTAAATGTCAACATTGATTATGGATAAACTTCGCTCCTAGATAAATGTCATTAGTAGCAACTGTTCCTCGGATGAAGTGACAGATCTTCCTACTTGAATGTTTTCTTAATAGTTTCTATTAGAGAAGTTGAAAAAGGTTAAATTCTCGAGTGGAATTTTATAAAAATATAAATTCTCCTAAAATTAAATTATCGCAAAAATAAAACTTAAATGCCTCTAATTAATTATGTATAGCGATCTATCGTACCAAGTTATAAAGTAGTAAATAATTAAATAAATATTTTATATCGACCTCTAAATGTTATTTAGTTCGTTTAAAAAATTAATTATAAATTAAGGAAATTAATTGTATTTATATTTTAATCCTATTATTCTATTAATGATTAATGTTTACAAAGAGAAAAATTCTGTTTGCAGTAAGAGCATCAAAAGAAGGTAAATTTCTTTACGTTTTCCTGACAATAGAGCAACTAAATAAACAGTTAATACTAGTTAATGAATATAAATACCCAATGAAACTATTTCATTACATAAAATGTGTACATATCCGTACAAAAATACATTTAATTACTTCTATTATTTAATTTTCCTCTTCTACTAGATCCAGTACTTCCTAATTGGCTTTTCTTTCTGTCCATCTAATCTTTTGGAATCTTCTCCAGCACCANTTTATAAATGTGGTATAATTTTATATATAATTTTAATATATGGTTGTATGTACTTATATATTATATATGTATAAACACACATATACTAAAGCATTGTAATTTACGTATTCAACAAAAAGAAACTAATTTTTTTTAAATTTTGTAAGTGGTAAAATATTTAAAGACCGGAAAACTTACACTTTTTAACTGATTTTTGAATTACCCTGTA